AGGGGCAAAGGTGGAGGGGCGAGAAGGTGTCGTTTGAGTCCACAGGATTCGCTGATGGACAGAATGTGGAACCAGACAAAAATGGCTTGGGCTGAGCCCCGGGATGCAAGGTGGTTCGGGGGTGTTTGCTGAGACAGGGGGGTTTGGGAGTAGAGAGAACAGCCAGTTGGATTTGGGCTCATTGTCAGCAAGAGGCCTGTGGCTTCCAAGGAGAAGATGTCAGGTGCACAGGTGGGTAGACAAGTTCAGAATTCAGGGGAGAGTCAGCATTAGGAGTTGCCAATTTGGGAGTCATCAGATAGTGACAGTATTTAAAATCATGGGACTAGATGAGATCACCCAGGAAGTGGGCGTAGGGAGAGAAGGAAGGTGTCCCAGGACTGAGCCCTGGGCCTCTCCTAAGGTTGGAGGTGGGGAGAAGGGAGGAGGGGACAGCCAAGGAGGCAGGGCAGGAGGAAGGGAGCTGCTGTCTTGTCCTCGGTGACCCCACAGCCCGCCAGCACGATGGCTGCCCCTCCTGGGCAGCCCCGACTCTGCTCAGGCCGGCGGCTCTCGTCTAAATAATTGCAGCAGTCTCTGAACTTGCAGCTCACTAGGTGCTCTCTCCACCTGCCTTCTGGAGCCATCTTTGCAAAATGCAGATCCGATGCCACAACTCCCCATAGCTCATGCAGGGTTAGAAAGCGAGTCCACAGCCTGGGGACCACACTCCCCGCGGCCTGGGGCCCGCACACGTCAGCAGCGACACCTGCAGTGCTCCCCACACATCAGACACGGATGCACATGGAAGCACATACGTCAGCACACACATCTGCACACCCGAGGAGCTGGCATGGTAGCCTGCACCAAAGGCCATTCCCCTCTCCCTCCTTCCCAGAGACAGCGCTTGCACCCCACACTTGAGCCCCAAAGTGCCAGACAGCGCTTTCCCAGCCCCTGGGGCTTCCGGGAAATCTCCTTCCCCCAGAGAAAGAGGGGGGGCAAGGAAAAGCACCCCCCTTCCTAGCCGGCCCTGGACTTTGTATGTGAGGGTGCAAGGAAGGCCTGAGCTGCTGCCACCATCTGTGACCAGAGGAGCCAACCCCATGCAAAGGCACAGCATGGCAATGGGAGGATGGCACCTGGGGCCTCGTGAGCTCAGTGGGCCGCTGAGCCGGTCTCTGTGCTGCTGACCACCCACCTTCCTGCTGTGGGAGGTGGACAAATCCCTACTATTGCAACCACTTGGGGTGGCTTTTCTGACACCTGCATTCAGATGCGTCCCAACTGATCCCCACATCCTCACATTCTTGGCCCTGAAAGTCTGGCCTTCTCCCTAAAACTGATCCCCCCCAAACCCCAAGGGAGCATCCTTTGGCATCTCCCTGTCTTGCCGGAGCTGCCGTGGGGGCCTGACATGCTTCACCCTTGTCCACCCACACTGGCTGTAGGACGGCCCTACCTCACCGTCTCGGCCACCTGCAGCCCTTGGCCTTTGGCTTGTACATCGGTGAGGTCAGGTAATAGTTTTGAAACATGAACGGATGCTTTTAATACCCCTCCCCACGCCCTAACTATTTTTTGTTACCCTGCCCTTCCCTAACCACCTTTGGCAGCTGGACAGGGGTGTCCACTGCCCTGGGGGAGGGACATTCTCAGCAAAAGACAGAAAAGACTTTCGGGCTCCAAAAACTTAAGACTTGAGGGGACTGAAGGATGAAAGGGAACAAAACAAAACTTGATGAGTCAGAGAAAGGCCTTCTGGCCCCAAGGCTAGAACAGGTTCCTGGGCCAGGGAGAAGGGATGGGGTAGCTGTGGGGAGAGAAATCAGTGGGGCCTGGGGGCCGTGCCCCCAGGAGCAGAGCACTGTCCCAAGACCACCAGGCTCCCCCAGTGCTCCCAGCATGAGCTGTGTCCTCCGCCAGGGCCCAAGAGCCATCCCTGCAGGAGCCATGTGGGCACCCAAATTGCAAAGCCTCCGGTCAGTGGGCGGCATCCCCAGGGTATTGAAAGGCCACATGGGCAGCTATTTGGGCCCCACAAGGGCCTCTCCTGGATCACTCGAAGCCACCACCCAATGGTCTAGCAGGACACCTTTACTTGGGGCCACCCACCTCACTTGAAGGGTCTCTCCCCAGGACATTAATCAGCATCTCAGGTACCCTCCTGCCACCCTGAGACAAAGGAGTGGTCCTGGCACCCTGGGAGGGAGGTGGCCTAGGAGGAAAAGCCCGCACATCCATACCGCGGAGCTAGTGTCCCCCACTAGACTGGGGTAGCACTGTTTCTGGCTCATCTCTGCTACTCCAGTGCCCGGACAGGGCCTGGCCAGCAGTAGGTGTGCAGTAAGTGTTGATTGGCCTAAACGGGGTACGAGGCAGCAGTCGGGGCCCACAGACCCCCATCCCCAGCCGCCCCCTCCCCCTGACTGTTACTAGCCAGGGTGGCCCGGTGCCCCAGGCTGGCCAATAGAATGAAGCAGAAGTCACAGGCTGCACTGAGGCCTCCAACAAAGTTGTGATTTTTTTTTAGTGGAAATTGCCTATTTTTTAAATTAAATTCTTTATTTTCTCTTAAAATGATTTGTGTTTATATTTTAATTTCATAAGTGGTTTTTTACATTTAGCCACTCCAATCCTAGGGCGATTTATTTTTCAAAACTTCTTATACCATCCTTTTTTTTTTTTCCAAAATATTAAGGGGATACAAATGTCTTAGGTTACATGGGTCATTTTTGTAATGCTTGAGTCCTGGCTATCGGTGTGCCCGTCACCTGAATAATGATCAGAGTACCCATTAGGTTTGTATGTCCACCCCCCATTCACTGTTACTTTGCACTGAGTTTTACTTCCCTCTGTGCACATGTGTGCTCATCAGTTAGTTCCAATTTAATAGTGAGTACATGTGGTGTTTGTTTTTTTATTCTTGCAATACTTCATTTAGGAGAATGGTCTCCAGTTCCATCCAGATTGTTACAAAAGCTATTATTTCATCGTTTTTTATGGCTGAGTTGTGCCTAACAAAGCTTTTTTCAAGAAATAGACTCTGATGGCCTTGCCCTTTGCCTTTCCCCTTCCTCTTTTTTTTTTTTTTTTTGAGATAGAGTCTGGCTCTGTCGCCTGGGTAGAGTGCAGTGGCATCATTATAGCTCACCGCAACTTCAAACTCCTGGGCTCAAGTGATCCTCCCGCCTCAGCCTCCCAAGTAGCTGGGACTACAGGCATGTGTCACCGTGCCCGGCCTCAGCACTCACTTCCTAATCCTCATTTCACACCACCTCGCAGCAGCAACCGGACAATGTTGGCTGTCCCCCATCTTTTTGACACACTGTTGTTGGCATCCTCCCTAACTTTCTTGGGTTTTCTCCAACACTCCTTGCTACTCCTCTTCTACCTGCCCTGAGGTGTGGGGGATCCTCGAGCTGGATCCTGAGTCCTCTCCTCGTCCCCCTCTCTTCCCACCCTGCATAATCTCACCTCTAGCAGCTGCCTCAACCACCACAATTACACTCATGACCCTCAATCTGTCTCCAACCTGACCTCTCCCTGAGCTCAAGACTCTGGCATCAAACAGTCTCCTGGGCATCTTCACGTAGACATGTCAGACACCTCAAACTCCAAAAACTGTTAGCCTCCTCTTCACCTCAAACCTCTCCTTCTTGACTTCCCCTGCCTTGAGTGGCACCACCATCAACCCAAGGACTCAAGCAGAAAGTTGGCACCATTCCCGACGTCTTGCTTCCCCATCCCATGCATTCTCTATCATCAAAGCTTTGCTGCTTCTACCTCCTAATGACTCTGAACTTCATCCGCTCCTCTCCCCAGCCATGACCTCTACCCAACCAAGTTCATGCTACCATCACTGCCCGCCTGGACAGCGGCAACAGCCTTCCCAGACCTGCCTGCCCTAACCTTCATCCCTACGCAGGTCCTCTAGACTAGTGCTTTTGAAACTTCAGCTACATAAAAATGCCTGGACAGTTTGTTCAAAGACAGAAATTCTGGGTCCCATCCCCAGCAATCTGATTCTCATTCAGAAGGTCTGGGGCAGGCTGAGAATTTTTGCATTCCTAACAAGCTCCCTTAGGGGAAATCGCCTGGAGAAACCCAATTGCGGAGGCTGAGGCTGCAAGTCTGGGGATCATACTTTGAGTGGGGAGACTCCCTGTGCTGTCCCATAGGGTTATGACTAGCAACCTATGGCTATTTAAATTATTAAAACAAAATAAATTTTAAAATTCCGTTCCTCAGTCGCACAAGCCACATTTCAAGTGCTCAACGGCCACGTGTAGGTAGTGGCTACCCTCTGCAACAGCGCAGGTGACAGACCATTTCCATCATCGCAGAAAGTTCTGCTGGGCAGCGTCGCCTAAACCTTCCAGAGATATATAAATTTGACAGCCGCTGCTGGGTCCCTCTCTCGCCCGTGAGAATTCAGTGGCCCCCCAGGCTACAAGCACATGCTTTTAGGAAGCATAAAGGACGTCGGGAGCCTACAGGGTAGTGGGAGAGGACGGTGAGGGTGGTGGAACCAGACGGTGGCCGGGGAGGCGAGGGCCAGACCTCCCACACCAGGACACCGCGAAAACGTCTCGGAAGAGCCGGGCTCTCCCCAAGCTGGGGGAGGGCCAAGAGCCTTGAGCTCATTGGCTGGTTTTAGGGGGCGGCTGCCAGCGCTTTCTTTTGATTGGTTGTTTTATCTTAGCGGAAAGCCAATCATCGAGGGCGGTGGAGGCGCCGCCAGGCCTGCTGTACAGGCCCCGCCCCGAATTCCGGTGCCCACCCCCCAGCAGCGGGTCAGGTTGGCGGTGAGTTCTGACCCCCCACCTCCTTCCAGACCCTTTCGCTCCGGATGTTACCCCCACCCCTAGCATTTCCCCCCCGGTGGGGGCCAGGGGCCAGGTGGGGGGGAAGGGGCAGATCCTCCCTCCCGCCGAGGGGCGCGCCCCTCCCCCAGCCCTACAGTCCGCCCTCTCCGAGCTCAGTGTCCCCGCCTGTGAAATGGGATGGCTCTGGCAGCCTCACAGCCTCCTCCGCGGGGCGAAGGGGGACGGGAGATTGAGGCGGGCCCCGGGACCGGGCGACCTGTCCCCACGGGAGGATGGCTCAGGAGGAGGGTGGCAGACTGGAGGAGGTGCAGGCACGGGTCGCGGCCTCGCACGGCATCACAGACCTGGCCCACAAGCTCCACTTCTATGACCACTGGGCCCCGGACTATGACCAGGTAAACCCATCGGGGTCCTCACCTCTGCTCGCCCAGCCTCAATTTTCCTACCTGTAAAGTGGTAATAGTTGGCCTTGCTTCCCAGGCTGAGAATGAAGTGAGACCTGGTGCGACCCCTACAGCCCTGCCCCTTACATACCAGCCCCACACTCTGGATTGACAGCCCCCATCAGGGGCCAAGACCTCCCCAAGGGGCTGCTGGAGCAGGTGCCACTGAGGGGTCACTGTAGATTAAGCAGAGACCTTATAGTAGAAAAGGTTCCTGGGTGGCTGAGTCCACCCACCGTGGGCTGGGGGCTGGCTCTGCAGTCCTGCACCTTGGCGGCCACAGCCCAAGCCCCCAACACACACTCAGCTTAGCCTGGCGGACTCCTAGACCACCCCACATGGGAGGTTCCCCAAACACTAGGGCACCAGGTGGTGTTTGGCTCAGCACTCTGTCCTAGGATGTGGCCACCCTACAGTACCAGGCCCCTCGCCTGGCAGTGGACTGTCTGACCCAAGCCCTTCCAGGCCCACCCCACACTGCCCTGATCCTGGACGTGGCCTGTGGCACTGGCCTGGCGGCTGCCGAGGTAAAACACCCCCGATCCCCTGCCCTCCCCTCAGCTCCTCACTTGCTCGAATCTCCCACCACTCAGAACTCTGACACATCTCCAGGCTCACCGTCCCAAACGCATGGACCACATCCACTGCAGGGCCTATTGCCCTCCCAAGATGCAAGGACCCAGCTGGGAAGTGGCAGGGTGTGAACCGTGACTGAGTCCCCCCCTTCCCCAGCTGCAGGCTCGGGGCTTCTTGCAGCTGCATGGGGTGGATGGGAACCCAGCGATGCTGGGACAGGCCCAGGCCCGTGGCCTCTACCAGCACCTCAGCCTCTGCACCTTGGGCCAGGAGCCTCTGCCCAGCCCCGAAGGTACCTCCCCCCTCCCCAGCACCCTGAGGCCCACCTGCATGGAGCCCCTTCTCTTGCTGAGCCCTTCACCCCATGATCCAGCTGCAGCCCAGGACTAGGCATGCCTGCCACAGCCTCCGTGGGATCTGGGTCCTGCCGACACAGGTGGCAGACCTTGTCCCTCCCCAAGCCCCACCATGGGACCCTGTCCTCTGGGGTGGTCTGAGGCCACACTGTAGACAAATCACCACACCACATTCCCATACTGCCCTACAGGGACCTTTGACGCAGTGCCGATGGTAGGTGCCCTCAGTGATGGCCAGGTGCCCTGCAGCGCGATACCTGAGCTCCTGCGAGTCACCAAGCCAGGTGAGGAGCAGCGCAGCCAACCACACCCCCACCTTCCCCTCTCCACACCGCAGATACAGGCCTCAGAACCCCTCAGGCCAGGTGCAGGGCAGGGTCCTGCCCAGGGTCACACATAGCCTAGCCTAGCATCCCAGCCGCCACCTGCCAGCCCAGGGCCTGGCCTCAGCTGCCAGTATCCACAGACCCAGGCAAACAGGCAGGGCAGACAGGTGGCCAGCTCACCTCTTATCTGTGGGCCTCTGGGAGGTACTCCACTCTCCTCTCCGCCTATTTCCTGGCTTGGGAGCAGGATGGCATAATCCCTGTGATCCCGTCCCCATAGGGTGACAGCCAGAATTGGGTGAAACAGTGTCTCTAAGGCATTATAGTAAGGGCATGGCTCGGTCCCCTCCTCTGCCAGCTTTCTCACTAAGTCATGGACTGGCTCAGGTGAGTCTCTTTCGCTTTCCTGGCCCCAGTTTCCTCATCGGGGAAATGGGGCCCCTCAGGTGAGATGAGAGTTGTGAGCACTTTCTGTAAACTCTGCACCTGGAGCTGGTATGCATGCAGTTGTGTTTCCTATGCCCATACCACGTGCCTGCCCTGTACTTGCCTCTCCTCTGGGTTGAAGGCACAGACCCTGTCCTCTGGGGCTCCATCACCAACCCACTGGGGCCCAGAAAGGGACCAGAGAGCACAGGGCCAGGCCAGAGGTGGCCCCACAAGGGCTGTGAATGCTTGATTCTCCTAGAACTCAGAGAAGAGGAGCATTATGGAGGCTAGGATGAGACATCTATGCGACATGGCCTAAGTGAAGTTGCAGGGCAGAGAGAAGGGCTGGGTATGAGGACCAGGGGGCGCTGGCTGGCCGCAGGACAGGACCAGCAAGTGAGAGGAGAAAATGCTTCCTCTCCCTCCCCCATTCTCACACCCCACCCCAGCCACCACCCTCCCCAGGTCCAGCAGGGGCTGCGCTAAGCCTGGACAGGTCTGGGCAGGCTTCAGCCTCAGGGAGCCCTGGAGGCTGACAAATGCAGGGCTGTCAGTGGGGTCAGCCGGAGAGGTAGAAGTTGGGCCCAGGAAGCCCAGAAATTCTTTCTGCATGAACCAGCAAGGACCGGACTTCCCAGCCCAACCTGTGCTTGCCAGAGCCCTCGGCAGGCTGAGCCCTGTCTCCCTGCCCACAGGTGACAGGCTCCCCTGCTCCAGAGCCTTCCCTTTCACTGCACCCCCTCCACCAGCAGCACCCTGCTTCTCCTTGCCCCTTCCTCCAGGAAGCCTTCCCAGGCCAGTCATTGGGTCTGCCTTCTCTCCTTCTAAGTGCTTCTGAGGCCACACTGGGCACACTGTAGGTGCCTGGACCTGAGGAGCCAAGGCGATTCCTCCATTCAGCCAGCACTCGTGGCTGTGCTGGGCATTTTACACACACAGCTTTCCCATGATACAGAATAATCACCCCTTTCTGCCCGCTGGGAAACTAGGCTCAGAGAGGCAAAGGGACTTGCCCAAGGTCCAAAGCCCGCATGCTTCCCTCTGGTGCGTCCGGACACAGCCACACCCTCCAGCAGAGACCTGGGCTAGCGGTGAGGAGGGAGTCCCCTGAATCCAGGAGATTAAGTCAAGAATTCCCAGCATAAAGGGTGCTAGGGCCTTGAACGGTGCATAGGAGGCCACAAGCTGAAGAAGAGAAGGGGCTTCCCGGGGGAGGGGGACAGTGGGCACCAAACCCGTGGAGGTGGGAAAACGCTGGCCTGGGGATGAAACTCGAAGACATTTTTGGCCTTGAAAACATAAACAGGAAGGGACAACACTCCCGCAGGAGCAGGCCTGGGACTGTGGCTCCTGCCCCTTCCCCACCTCACCCACCCCTTCCCCTCTGCAGGTGGGCTGGTGTGTCTGACCACCAGGACCAACCCATCCAACCTTCCATACAAGGAGGCACTGGAGGCCACCCTGGACAGGCTGGAGCAGGCCGGGGCGTGGGAATGGCTGGTGCCCTGGCCTGTGGACCGCTGGGAGCTGGCCACCTCTGAGCTCGAGGTGGTGCCCGGCACCTCTGCCAAGGACGGCTTCATCTCCGGCATCGTCCACCTGTACCGAAAGCAGCAGGAGACCCAAGTTGAGGGATGAGGCCCAGTCAGCAGCCCCCAGCTGGCCTCTGACCCTCCGTGTGACCTTAGCCAGGCCTATCTGCTGGGCTCCCGAGGCTCTGGCTGCAAAATGGGGCCACCGTGCCAACCCTGGCCCTTGGGAACACTCTGCCTATTAAATGAGCTCCCAGAAGGGACAGAAGGCCTCTCGGCTCTGCAGTTCTCTTACCCCAGGAGAGAGTGACATCTGTCCTGTGGGTTCAACAAGAGGTGTGACAGAGAGGGCCCCCAGCTGGGCCGTCCCTGAGCCAGGCCTGATAGGTCACTCCTCCCAGGGTGCTGGGCCCTCTCACCTCCAACTCGTTGACAAGGAAATTGAGGCTGGGGGACCCGGAACATGCTCACGCTGCACGATGGTAGCAGAGCAGGGTCCACGCTCCATCCTGGACAGCCCCCAGATTTGAAGACAGAGGCCCCGAGCTGTAGGCCTGGGCCTGGGCCACACACTTTCGCGCATCCAGGACTCGGTTTCCTCATCTAGAAAGGGATCAGCATGCAGAGCTCCGGGCGTGGTGTGAGGCTGCTGTCAGCTGAGGAAGGTGAAAGGGCTTTGGTGACCGTCAGCACCTTGGGGACGTGAACGGGAGCGTGGGAAGGCTGCGTGGGGAGGAGGCTTGGAGCTGGCCCTTCAGGACAGGCAGGATCCAGAGGGGTGGGGAAAGGGAAAAGGACATTCCAGGCTGAGGGCAGGGACGGCCTGAGCAAGGGCCAGGAAGTGGGACCTGTAGGGTGACCCAGCTGAGATGAGAGTGGAAGACCAGCCCTGCCACCCATACAAAGGCAGAGGAGGAGAGGTCAGGTGGCCCATCCCCCAGGGCTGGACGCTCCCAGCTGTCCTCCCTCCTGGGGTCCCCAAGCCTTCACCAGGGTCCTGGGCATAGGCTGTTTCCTGTAAATGGGGTTTACTCTCCAACAAATGAAGGGCCTGGACAAGGTGATTGGAAAGGTTGGGGCCAGTTTCAGTTTCTCACAGTTCTGGGAAACCAGTTCTTCAAGCGCTCATGTCCTGGCCACAACACGGCCCTCACCAACCCCTGCCCAGGCCTCTATCCCTGCCCCACCCACCTCCACCTGAAACCAGAGACAATACGAGTCTTCCTGTGCACAGGTCCTATTTATTGTAGAAAATAATAATTACAGTGATGAACAGATCTTCTTAAATTATAAAACAGAAACCACATAGAAGGCAGGGAAAACCCCAGGACTTCCCAGGGTGAGGCCATTCCCCCCTCCCTCCCACCCTCCCCAAGCTGGCCAGTGTCCTTGGAGGGGCAAAGGATTCAGAGGGGGGACAATGTCAAGGGCCCAGGGTCCTCTTCAAGTGGGTGAGGCCGCAGAGCAGGGGCAGGAAGAGGTGGGGGTGCCCAAGCCAGGCTGGCTCTCTGGCCCCCTCCCCCACCACCACCCAAACCAGTTTAGACCACCTTCGCCCCTCCCCCCAAACCTGTCCATCCACTCTGCACTCCACCGCAGGTGGGTGGGTGAGGCCCCAGCAGTACTCATGGCCACAAATTTCCACGGGCAATGCACAGCCCAAGTGGCACTCACTGGCCCACCCAGTCACACCAAGGTCTGAGCAGGGTCACAGGAGTGCCCGGGAATGGGGCAGCGGGAAAAGAGCTGGAGTCACAGAAGATGTGTGCAGAGTGGGTGGGGAAGATCAAAACGGGGGACAGTAGCCAAGACCAGTGTGGGCAGGGCACCCACTCAGCAGCAGAGCCCAAGGTCAGAGTCAAGCTGTCCTGGCCAGCAGGAGCCAGCTCCCCACTCCACCGCCTCATCCCCTATACCCACGGGCCATTCAAAGGAGAGTGGCATCCATCCTTGCTCGTAGGAGCTGAGGGCCGCCGGCCAATAGCCTGGCTGAGTCCCTGTTTGCCCAGCCCCCAGCAGCCAGGCCGTCCTGGGTCACAGGCTGCACTGAGCTCAGTCCAGGCAATAACAAAGCCCGAGGAGCTGAGTGGAGCAGCGGCCCCTTACACATAGTTGCTGGCCGGGCCGGAGCGGGCAGCAGAGTACTTGGCCGAGTAGGGCTTGTCAGTGCGGGGTGGGCAGTTGCAGCAGAGCAGGGCCCCCCCGAGCAGCAGGAGGCCCGAGGCAGCCCAGCCAATGTAGAGCGAGGCACCCATCTCCCGCTTCTGCCCAGAGGCCACCAGTGGGTTGTAGAAGTCGCGGATGATATTGTGGGCCGTCCAGGACACCGGCACCATCACCAGCAGGCCAGCCAACAGGAACACCACGCCCGCCACAATCATGGTCTTGGCCTTGGCACTCTCGTCCTCCACGCAGTTGGTGCACTTGCCCCCCACCACGGACAGCAGCACGCCCAGCGCGGCCACGATGATGCAGATGACGATGAGGGCGCGGGCCGCCTGCAGGTCCTGCGGCAGCGCCAGCAGCGAGTCGTACACCTTGCACTGCATCTGCCCGGTGCTCTGCACCACGCAGTTCATCCACAGGCCCTCCCAGATGGTCTGCGACGTGACGATGTTGCTGCCGATGAAGGCCGTCACGCGCCACATGGGCAGCGCGCAGCTCAGTATGGCGCCCAGCCAGCCCAGCACGGCCAGTGCGATGCCGGTCACCTGCAGCCCCATGGAGGCCATCGCTCAGCGTCGGCTGGGGTCGAGGACCTGGAAGGCTGAGGGGATCTGGCTCTGGGGCTGTAGGATTCCAAGAGCTGAGGACAGACCCGGTTTACGGAAGCCTTTCCCTGGAGTCAGGAGACTGAAGCCAAAGCCCGTCCTGGAGTCAGATGCACAAGCCCGACAAGTGTGACCGGACCAGTTCCTTCCTGCCGACAGCTGCGCGCGTGCTCTGAGGTACAGGTGGAGCAGTTATATGTCTGTGGAGGAGGGGCGGGGGCAGAGGGAGGGCTTTCAGTCCCCGGGGCCTCCCCCTGACCAGTTTCTCTGGATTCCTGAGCTCTGGCCAACAAAGGCACTTTAAGGCCCAGCCCTGGGCCCCTGAGTCACTATCAAGTCTCAGAAGAAACTGCCCTCTCCCCCGGCCCCCAGGCCCACGCTGAGGTCAGCCTGGAGACAGACACTGAGTCATGATGGCCCGGGGACACCTGGATGTTCACAGGGCCGGGGGCGGGGAGAGCAGCCAGGCCCAGCCAGGTTGAGGACCCCACACCCAGGGCTCCCTCATCCCAGGCTTGGGTGGGAGGCCAGGGCGGGGACTCTCGGGGACAGCGTCTGAGGAAGAAGTCCTGGGAATGCCCAGGAGAAACCCTGCCTTGATTATTGTTGTCCTCGGCTGTATCACTTCCATCGCTGGCGATATCACTAGTGCTATTACCGTCATCACGAGTGCACGGGGCCTCACCAGCAGTCTTGGCTGGATGAGCCGAGTGTGGGAATGAGGGGCTGGGGGGCCAGGACTCCTGGGTCCACCACCTGCCTCCCCCATCTCTCTCACGGGGCTTCCCTGCCCCGCCAGAGGAGGGATGCTTGGCAGTGATACACTCTCACCTCCAAGGCAGAGAGAGACAGAAGCCTGTCCTCTCTCCACGGGTGTTTAGGCCGATGGGCTCTGTCCCCACCCAGGCTGAGCCTGCTTGGCCAGAACTAGGTGGGGGAGCTCACCAGGACATCAACAGGCCAGGAAATGGGTGTTTACTCTGTGAAGACACACACAGAGAGCCCTCCGATAAAACCAAAGCTGATAAAGCCAAAGCCGATAAAGCCAGCAGGGGTGCAAAGTCCCACCAGGCTTCAAAGGCGAAAACTCCAGCCAGGTGGGAGTGGGGAGCCAGACAGTGAGGGGCACCGCATGCTCTGCTCGGATTGTGCCGCAGAAGGCAGCAAATAACACTTAAGTCACCGTGAGTGGGCTCCCCGGGGAGTTGTGCAAGGCCACGGGAC